TCACTTCTAAAGTGGCGCTTGATTGGCTCTGGTGGCCTGTACCTTTGACCCAGGGCCCAAAGTACAATGAAACGGAATACGAGCGGTTGATAACTGTGTTGTCACAGAGATCACTTGCGACTTCATTGGTGCACATTTTTAAGTGTCAATGGAGTAAGGTGTAAATTCCTGCAACTGGCACTATATATTGGTCATCTAGGAAACTATAAATAGAAATAAATAAATATAATCTAGCTAATAACACCGTCTCCGAGTGCCCTGACTGACTACACCTTTGCCAACTTTTCTGGATTGCTAGGCTTATTCAAGTTCTTTTTATTTCCAGGTGTTTCATGTTGGAAGATGGCTATTTATTAAAGCAAGGCAGGTAGTAAGAAAAAAGTCACCCATACTTCTTTTGTGGCTGCACTTTGTGAGCACACAGGTGAAGCAATCTTAATGTTCACTGCACCTTGAGTGAGCACCATGAAGTTCTCATTTCACAACTCTTATAACTAGGCCTCCATGTTTTCGGATAAATCCGAAAAAATCCGGATTACTACTACTTTGCCCTCTTTCAAGACCGGCACAATTGACAGAAGGAGGATTATCTCCCCTGTTTTCTTTGAGGACAAGGGGTCACCGTATTTCTAAGTCAAAGAAGGCTATCTAAGCACCTGTCAGCGCTAGTCATTGTTCCGGTTTTTAGTGTAGACCATACAATTTTTCTTTTCTGAAGGGAGAAGGGATGGTGTTGTAACAATAGATGCTATGGCCGCCTTGATTTCACGGTCGGAAAGGGCGTCCAACTTGCGTGGTTGCCCCATATTTGTGTATCTGTAGTCATCAATCGAAAGGAGTGCGCTTCCATCAGCGACAGAAATTTCCTAAAGTATGCTTGCTTCTGTTACAACAAGCTGTAAGGTTGTACTAATATGCACAACCGTACATGTTTTGTATTGAAGTATTTGTTTGTGCATTCAAACCTTCCATACAATTAAAATGAGTGTTCAGATATCATTTCATCTAAGATTTTGGAGTATTCAGAATACAGAGAAATTAAACTCCGAATTTCGGAGAATTGGGGATGTACTATCGCGGACACAGCTGCCTATAACAAGCGAGCGGTAGCATTTCTGTCCTCCCAAGTGCACTCCGAAACACTGCGCATGCGAGGTGCCGGAGGACTTGCTCATCCAGATTGCGATCATACCTTCGCTCTATGCTCTGCCAGGTGCGAAGGAGACGCCGCCAAAGCGCTGCCGCGTGTTATAGGCAGCTGTGTCCGTTATAGTACGAGAAGTAAACTCCGATAAACACTCATTTTTTATCTAAAAATAAACTCCGAAAAACACCCTCCGAATTTCACAGAAAATAAACTCTGAAAACACTGAGCACTACCTATAACGGAGTGGTTCCAAAATGTGAACCACCCTAAAATGAGTAGAGGTATATTGCTCAAGGACACTAACCTATGTTCTTCCTTAGGAGGTCCTCGACTCCGTCAATGACAGTATGCTTGTAAAGGGAAGCTGGACGGCCTTTTGGAGGTGCTAGTGACACACCTGGAAGAGAGAAAAGATCTACACTGCAGCTAGATTTACGAAGCTTAATACGAAACCGTTACCCAAGTCTAAGGTCAGAACAAGGAACGAAAGTTCTCTATGAGATGCAAACAAGGATATGAGTGGTACCTACCAAGCGAGGACACCACTCGTAGAAATGATCGTAAGCCATATAAATGGTGTTTATGCAACATTATAGTTGAAACATTTGCATTCCTTTACCTATGACATTAATCCAGGAGTACAAGCTTCCTACAATGCATAGCTTACTTAAAGGGCAACTCCACTCCATTTGTCCGATTTTCGGGTTATGATCTGTTTAGTCGAAGTCGGCGACACTGAATCACGAGATATAATTTATTTTTCGATAGTGTGTACAGTTTTGTAGATATCGCGTATCCAATTTTCCTTCCGGTGGCACTGCGAAACCGAAACTACCGGCCGGAGCATTCTGGCAACACTGATAGCCAGCTGCGCGTTTACGGCGTGACGTCGATCTGGTCATGCGCGCCTGAGCGGGCGCAGCAACACAGCCGGCTCAGTTGCACGTGGAGCTTCAAAACAGAAGGTAAGTTGCACATTTTCTTCTTTACCTCTGTACTTTGTAAATATGCACTAGATGTAGTAAGCGTTAGTGTATATTCATAAATTTGTTGACCGAAAAGCGAATCCGACTGCTATAGATAATTTGACGCGGTCAGCGCCGACGCAGTGTGTCTGTGTATAATTTGCTCACTTGCCAAGACAAAAACAAATAATGAGAGACAGTTGGAATCCACAAGCGGTGTAAGTTGTTAAAGCTAAGGTGCCTTTATACACCAACTCATGTTTACAAACAAACCGGAGCGCCCCTAGCGGACGCCACCGGCGCCGCGCATGTGCGGTGGATGGTGGGCAAGAAGCCCGCCGTCGCCCATAAACAAACCATTGAATTGCGTTGTTGTCGGCGTCGGTGGGAGTCCCCGTGCTCTTTTTCGCGTTGGAATTGTTGATTCTACGTCCTCCTAACAATGTCTGACTACTTGAGCGGCTTCAGCAAAACTATTGAGGCAAAACTTTGCGTGAATAATGTGACGTGCGGCGATTCATTTCACGTGGACGCCGCAGAATGGGCGCTAAAGCCTGATTCCCACGATGAGATTCTGCTCGCTATTTTCAGTCGCGACGTCGCTCGGGCTGCAAAAGCGTGGACCGTAGCTGAGATGGTGGACGTCGATACTGAAAACCGCAAGTAGAATCGGGCATTACAAGTTGGTGATGGCCACTGGTAACAATGATCAACAACTTCTTGTATCTGTTTACACTTAGCCGACTTACCCCAACCAACCTTCAAAAGTGTTTTGAGGCCTGCACTTAGTTCTTATCGCAATTACCGGGTCAACGTTTGGTTTACGGGCCGCTGTCGTTTGAACGAACTGTCGACAAAAAGCAGCCAAGTTTGAAAGAGCAGACGACAGTTCGAACGCACGCGCAATGGAGTACCGGCAAAAAGCACCCCGTCCCGCGTGAAGAAACCATTCGAATGTCACGTTGTCGGCGTCTGTGTGAGTCTGCATACTCTTTTTCGTGTTGGAGTTGTCGATTCTACATCCTCGTCGCAATGTCTTACCACTTCAATCGCCTGAGCGAAATTATCAAGGCTCGTTACGCCGCTAAACTTTCCGTAAATGATTTGACGTGCGGCGATTCATTCGCATGAACGCTGCAGAATGGACGCCAAAACCATGATGAGATTCTTGTAGCTATTTGCGGTCGCGACGTCGCTCGTGCTGCAAAAGTGTAAAAGGTAGCGGCGATGATCGACGTCGATACTGAAAATCGGAAGCGGGAACAGACCAAGCGTAACAAGTAGGTGATGGCCACCGGTACCAATAATTAACATCTTGTATCTACTGTTTACACCGCGCCTATTTAAGCCTTTTGAGGCCTGCAATTACTTCTTATTGCAATCACCGGGTCAAAGTTTGGTCTATGAGCCACTTTTGTTTGAATGAGCAGACGATAAAAAGCAGACAACTTTGAAAGAGCAGACGAAAGTTCGAACGATCAGGCGGCCATGTGAATTTGAAGACGCACTGAATCCGTGGGTGGTCCGGACAACTTGGGGGTTTTCTCTCGGTCATGTTGGAACAAAGCAAATACATCTGGCGACCACAAATTGTGGCCCGCACACGCAATCGTAGTTCGACAGCGTCTGGTTTGCCCTTTTCACGGCTGCTATCCACGTTCTCGGACGAACGGAGGGTGCAAAAACACATGAAAACTGATCTTCAAACCTTCCCAGACTCTCTTGGTAAAGCCCCCATCGCAGCATTTTGACGAGAAGGCAGGTTTTTTGTCTCGTTTCTTCCAAAGGAACACGGGAATGCATGTCTGGCACGGCGACCTCTGCCCACCGCCCCAGACCGGAAGTGCGTCCGGCGCGCCACCACCGCGGCATGACGTAGGAGAGTTGAGTTGGTGTATATGTACGCTAGTTAGAGCTGCCGCGACCTGCGACCGAGCAGCGACTGTTTGACATCATCCGCGTTTCTCGTACTTCCAAGACCTCTTTGTAGCTGGCGATTGCAAATATCTCATCCCGGCTGGTGCTCCATGCGTGCAAGCCCGCACATTATGCGCGCGAAGGCAATTTTGCCACTTTGCCAGGCTTGCGATTGCGCGGGCTTGCCACAACGAGCTGTTTCGTACTTAGCGTGCAACGCTGTCAAAGCTATTGGCGCGAGCGCGTGGCTTCATCCAATTGTTTTGTTCGCGCGAGAACGCGCGCAAATGATCAACGAGATCAAGCCCCATGCTCGCGCGAGTAGCTTTGATGTGTATAGCGCGGTCGGCTCGAGTGTCATGCACCGTTCATCCTCGTTCCCAGCACCGGCGAAAAAAATTAGACCTAGACCATAAAAAGCATGACGATAGTAGCTAACGTATTCAGGCGATGGCACAGCGCACAAAACAATTTGTTTTGATTCTAACTAACGATCTCTGGTTACACCACCTTTGATTGCGTGATGGAAGGTTACGTGAACGCAGCGTACCACTTACCCGTGTTCAGCATGTTATTAAAAATGGAGATTATGGTCTTTTTAATTTTCCCGCATGATTGCCGTCATATAATCGGACAAATGTGGTTGCGTGTTCTCTAGTTTGCTTTCATTTCGTTGTTTTTAATTGAGAGTCAAGGCCTGCCCGGTGCTGCGTTTCCTCTTCCTCGTAACTACAAACCAGCCCAGTTTACGACTTCATTGCACTTTAAGAGTACTGAATCTTCTACTTCATGTAGTCATTGATGTTTAATCAGCATCAGTGTGCTTAGGAGTTGCTCGCACATTTTTAAACACATTGGGCTTGTATCTTTTTACAGAAGCCATGTCATCTTCCAGCGACGATAGCGAAGGGGTTACATCGTGTCTTGATTTTTACGCATACGACCCACTGCCGCCTTCCTAAGTGCTTTGCATGGAGAGTGAATCGACTCAGGAAACAGAAAACCTAGAGGGAGACTGGTGAGATTTATTTACAACATATCAGCATAGCCTGCATTTTATACAAAACATAGAAAGCCATCTGACTGTCCTCTTTCTTGGTCGGTTGCAGGTGCACTTGTGCCAACTGCAATGAAGGGGCCGATAGACTTTGTTGTCGCGGCGTGGCTGCAGTGGTGAAAGTCAGTCCAACAACCTGCATTACGGAGCATCATTTGTTTCACCTCGTATGTCTCAATAGAGAGATACTGGACATAGCCTACCACGAAATCCGAATGTACACACCTTCCTACCTTGAGCAAGCGCATGGAGACAGAAACAGGTAAAAGGCTGAGAACTGAGAGAAGTTAATGGTTCATCTAAAGTTACTCGACTCTTAGTGTCTGGATTCCCCTAACCACTCAGCTAGATCCCAAACCTAATAGTGGCTTTCACTTTTTTTTTCACCTCGCTATGTATGCATCCCTGCTCGTATCTCTGCTGTTTTTCCACAATACAGGACATTCAGGTTCGTCGCCTACAGGAAATTCGTATGGTGGATATGGAGGAGGCTTGGGAGGTTCAACCGGGTGAGACTTCGCTGCTGTGTGGTGGCCATGATTAGGAAACACTTCCCTTCGGAGACTTACACGGGTTTCCAGTATTCCTAGTGCAGGAACCTTGAAACATGGGCCCTGATGGCAGCTTCTTTCTCTGGCCTTTGGGCTCCGCTGCACAAGGATTCCCGACGAGGACGTCCCTCCACGGCCACATTCGTGGGCTGTTCAGCTAACGCCAAGCTGCACTCAAGAAGTGTTTTCACGTAGCTTAGAAAGAAACCCATGATCACGAAATAAATTCATGTTGTCACAGCACTGTAGTGAACATTTTCCGTTACCGTAAGAGGGTGCTTCAATTACAGGACGGAGGACCCACTCCCCCTTCCTTGACTTAGGGAACCTCAGGCTGAATCTTCCCTTCACGGGTTCGTGCTTGCTTGCGGTCAGCATTGGCATTGTAATGTAGGATTGCCATGCAGGTCCTACAAAATATTCAGGTATAAAAAATGAGACGTTTATGCTTTTCTGTAATGCAAAATTAGAGCGCAGCTCTTGATCTGTTCTGGTTTTGCGATATGTGTTAAAGAATTTGATTCTATCTCTTTTGTTACGCCTATAAATGTAGCATAATTACGCACCAGTTAATTAAAATAACTACTCACGTGATCTCAAGATCACGTAAGGTTACATGATTGCGTAACTTTACGTGGTTATGTAGAGTTACATTACCGCAAACTGCTCCTTTATGTAACCTGAAATAACCACGCGAGGTTACGTGATCGCTTAACATAATTGCATAATCGCATAAAGTCATTGTCACATTATTTTATGTGAATACGCAAGGTTACGGATCATGTAATCACCTCAGGTTTTGTGACCTTACATAGTTACATGATCACATAAAGTTAAATTATAATGTGATTACGTGACCTTCCTCATCCATAGTCTCGCCCTTCGCACCCTCCCCTCCTCCGGTTATGCCGACGTCGCAAAATTCGGGAACGGGGGCCTAAGATCTGTGCTCCAAAACATTAAACCAGTTATAGCAGCAGTAGCACTTACCGTGCAACCATACCATCGTAGCGAAAATGGGAGGACTTAGGTGTAAAGTGGATAAGCAGGCTATGAAACGCTTCAAGCTTATAAGTCTGGCTGCCGCCAGAGAGCCTTGGAATATCCTTCAACAAGTGGCGGGCCATCACAATTTTGTGGAGCGCCACGTATGGTTCCGTCCTTGACAAAAAAGAAAAATTGCAAATAATTATGCTATCTATGTGAAAAGGTAGTTGATGAAGTCAAGTCCAAATTATATATCAGTTATTGCACCACGGTTGGGTCAGACTAGGGAGAAAAAGCGCTGCAAAACTGCAGGAAAGATTATACAGGGTGCGGCCATAAAAACTTTCCATTTGGAATGCCTACCAAAAGTGATTTTCAAATGTACACACCTGAACAAAACCAACGTCATTTCGCCCAAAGTTCTACGATTATCCTTTTCGGACAACTTGGATGTAGTAATAATAGAACAAAAATGACAGCAGTGCATTTCCTATGGCCTATACAGGTTGCTTTCCGTATGAACACTGGTTTGCGACCCGCTCTCCCAGGTGGCCCACTAAACACAAGAATGTTTTGTTTTAGTATGTTAATTAATTATTTTGTTCGTTGCCAGTCTATCCAGTCGTTCTTGGTGTTTTTGCATTGAGTAGGCAACTTAAAAGAAGGGTCGGGAACGAGCGTGCAGGTGGAAAACGACTGGTATAGGCCATAGAAAATGCACTGCTGTAGTTTTTCTTCCATTTTTAACAATTCACTGCTCCCGAGTTGATCTCTAAAAATACAGATATAAAACATTGAGTGGAATGGTATTTGTGTCCCCAGTCATAGGTGGGTACCGTAAAATCCCTGAGAGATAGCCCACCTAACATCAAGAGCAAATCGGGTGAAAATATAGAGTGGGCTAACCAGGCAAAGAAACAGCTACGAGCGAAAAGTGAGTGCCCAATCCTGTCGCGCCACATGTGCCACTACCGTCGTCTAGATCAGTGTATGCCAGTGAAGATTTTGACTTTCCAAGAGGGCTATGCATGTTTCTTTGAAGGCGCACATTCAGTGTTTTGGGATGGCATGGATAAACCTCTCCTGCATCACACTTTCTATTTGTTGCTCAGCTTCTCTTATTATTTATTCAAGCTATCTCAAAAGTTGATTGGGCGATGCATTTTGCTGTAATTTTGACGATGAGACACTATTCAATGGTTCCAAAGGTGATGAGGTAGATTGACCCAAGTTTTAATGCGACTGATGAAGCAAGCAAAGAAGCAAGGGTAGGCGACAAGCCTCTATGGGAGCTCAGCAAAGCAATCAAATTTGAAGGTGTTGTAAAAGTGTTTACTGAACTTGCCTTCCTGCAGCCACCACCGGTCCCCAATGTCACCATGAGAGCAGGCAGGGTAGAGGGGGGTTTGGTGCAGATGAATGTTGACCACGCGCCGCATCAGGGAGCACCATTTCGCAAGAATCAAGTCCCCATTATCCCCACTTGTCTGTGCACACCAATACACATGCGACCGAATCGACCTCACCCAGGAAAGCAGAATCTTATTTCTTCCCTCGCCTGCTGCAGTCACCTTGCTTATGACACCTGGAAAAGACATGTTTATGCGGCTTCCAGTTCAGAGGTGCGGCAATTTAAGAGGCAAGGGCAGAATAGAGAGAGCGATATCAAAGCGGGAAGACAGGCGTGGATGGCATTAGACTCTGCGAAAATTTTGCTTTCATTTTTTCGTGAATCGGCCTAACTACACTAAATGAGAAGCGTTGGCGCAAAACTACAGGTGCTTACTAGGCCCTATGCCGTGGGGCTGTCAGAAATATTTAACAAATTTGTGCATGCCTGGACTGAAATGCTGTGCAAAGCTTGAAAAGAAGATGGTGTAGCTTTTTGTTCAACTTAGTCACAAAGTATTGTTGATGAAGAGTACTGTGCAGCTCTGTCTATATCTATTTAACCGAGAAATATTTAATATTGTTTCTACTAGTAATTGCAGTCTTGCCTGAACCAATAATGCCGAGCTAGTCATGGCATCTGCCTGCCCTTTGTTTCAAAAATCACTTCCAGTATTGCCTTGCCTTTTGCAAGATGCCATGCGTCGAAGCGGTGCTTGGTGTTGGGGTAGTCAGTCGTCATCATGGCCTTGACGCCTATGTGGCGGTCCGTAACCAGCGTTCCAACGATCAGTCCCTCGTTGAGCAAATTGTCTAGGCCGCGCCTCAGACCTTCCTTCTCCATGTGGGAGCTGGACTTCACTTCGGTCGACTGAAATGCAAATCAAATGTTTCAATGACTACGATATCTACGAAAATTATGTCTTGAATGCTTACTTTAAATGAATAAAGCTTATTTTGCTTCTAGCCTCCTTTAGACGGGTATTGTTAATATGTGGGTAATTTAAACTGGGTCAGCTTTATGGATATCTAAAAAAAAGAAGTGTCGAACTATCATGATCTTTTATTACAGAAACTATGATTTCCTCAACTATATATTTGGTTTTTGAATTCACTACATGCCGCTTCCATCTATCCAACTACCATACATGAATGCAGATATTTAGTCTTCAATCTTTACTACATTTTTATCTTTTAAAAGTGAGTCTTTTTTAAATGTTTATTCTATCAATGCTTAGGTAACATTTCCAGTTTGTAATATGTACTGAATACATACATCCTTAGAGTTTGCAAACAAATTCAAAGCACCAGCTCTGCAGAGCGGAGGTGAGTCCCCTTTGAAACGTCAAGAGCATACGCGCACTGAAGCTAAGGGAAACAATGCCTGCCAAGCTTGCAGCATAAATTAATTTGACTACAATGTAAAAGAGCCGAATGGGCTGAGCGTTATAATGCAAGAATTGACGCAAAGATTTGTCTCAATGTCTGACCGCTAATGAGAAATAAAGAGAGACACTAAAGGAGAGCGAAAGCTTTAGTGGCTGTGAAAGCAACAGTTAAATTAATTTGGGAGGCAGCTGCAACAAGATATTTGTGATAACCTGAAAGATTAAAATAACACCTATGCCCTACCTGGACCAGCTCAAAATGAATTACGCGCTTGAGATTCATCTCCATCAGGCTGTACGTCCCGTACTTCGCGGAATAGCCAGGGGAGTCCACCCGTCCGTCCCCAGCCAGGCACAGCGTCTTGCCCTGCAGCCCCTGAACAAGCTGCGCCTGCTCTGCTTTCCAGACCTGCAGAATATGGAGTATTCATGTTACGGTGTTACTACCAGGTAACAATTGGAGCACTATAGCACAGTTCCTACTTTGAATGCTGCAGGGAACAGGAAGGCGCTTTGAATCCTGAAGTACTGCGACCTTTGAACAGTGGCGATTCCGATCAGGCTCAGGAGGCGCAAAACACACGTTGGACTTGCGCCCGAGAACGTGATGGCCCCACAGAGCAGGAGGGTCAGCAGTGGCCTGCTCCTCAATCTGGGCTGGCTCTCCCAAACGAACTTGTGACCTTGCACACAAGTGACCACAGCCCGAAGAAGGGGGCCCTGTCGACTTATCTTCACTGTGGTAGGACAAAGGCACTGAAAGCAGACTGCGAGCAGCTGCAGCAATCTGGATAGTGGCACTATGAACTTGGGCTCCGTAACGGGGTCTGCGGCCTCCCCAGTTATGTTGAGTTCTGACCTGCAATGCAGCCCACAAGGACGCAATCTTTAACACTACAAGGAAGTGATATTTTGAGCTAATCAGCAATCATTTTCCCTCTCCAAAAAAACGTAAAAAAATAAAAATGGTAAGCTTTATCACAATTGTGCTCCATCACAAATTGCGGCACGAAATTAGTGGAAGACTAATTCCTAGGTCTTATATAGGTTGATATGTACACGTCACATTGTAGTAATGTAGGGGTGTGCTAATACGGAACAGTAGTAATCTAATTGAATACCTAATGAAGTCAAGAAAAAAATAGAAAAAAGGCACCTGCTGTACATCACCTGTGAATGAATTGACCATCGGCCTGTAGTGATGTTGCAGGTTGTGCAAAACAGCCTTTCGCATTCTTTCCTAACTGTGTAGGCTTCAAAGCACACTCCACCAATGTGTGAGGTGTACCGCATTTACTCGAGTAATAGCCGCACTATTTTCCTTGCGTCTTCTTTCCCACAAAACAAGTATACAGCCAATCATTGCGTTGCGCATAAATAACATAGCGAATAACCAGATCGAAAACATGATGGTCCATACAAATGCAATCTTCACAGATGGTATATTCGCACGAAGACGTCATCTCTGTCGTGTAAACAGCTGTAATCATGATGTCGATCATAGTGATCGGCAATCTGCGTGCTCCGCGGAAAAGCGAACCCTCAGGTTTTCTTCATAAACAGTGTGGCTATTACTCGAGTAAATACGGTACATTACAACAATGTTTCGATTTGAAACAGAAAGGCACTTGCTTGTGAAAGAAATGCGGTATGATGGAGCGCTCTATACTATAACCCCCCTCAATTCGTGTACAAGGGTGGCGCAAACAAAGAGGCGTTTCGTTGACTCGCAATTTGGGTGTGTGCCCATTACGAGTAAATCTGGGTAGCTTTCAGGGCTGACGCATTCAGAATCTTCTTTGTTTTTTTCTACTCTATGCGCTATATCGTTGTAGAACGGTAGAACCAAAATGTATTTTGCATGTCTGGAATCACTAGAATGGAAGTGGAGGACACATCTTTCGTTGGATCTGTGCTGGCCATGCACCTTTTGCGCAATATGTGTAATATTCGAGTAACCGAACAGTAGAAATTCACTCCATAAATAGAATTATTCAACAACTTACTATACGATTTGGGTCCGGAATATTTGAGTATTTGCACACCCCTAGTAACAAGGCTTGACAATAGTTCAGCACCACCCAGCAACTACACATTACGTTGCCTGTGTCTACGTGGAAATGGAAGCCTGTTACTCGGTGCCTACATGGCAAGTCTCTCTTACTTGTGCTACAAGGCTCAGTAGACGGAGCAGACATAGATGGAGCTGATCCAGTTTTTCACAAAACAATATTCAGAATTCTAAATGGAACAAGTGCATAACTGTAAGGTAACAGATACTTTTCTTCTGAAAAAGCACAGAAACTGATGTAAAGTTAATGCAGCCTATAATAGTACTAACACAATATACTACCAGGACATACTCATCAGCAGAGTCCTCTCCCGAACTGTCGGTGTCGCCCTCGTCTGGAGAGTACGTCGGGTCTTGTCTGTCATCCTCGGAGATGTCGTCCTCGGAATCACTCTCCGAGTCGGAACCCTCTTCTTCCAGGCTAGGGGGGCTTCGGTTACCAGGCACTGGAGGTGGTTCCTTGCCCAGCTTGCCACAGACAATGTTGACTGCATGGAAAGGACCCCATTTAGGAGCAGAAATCTTTGAGGACGTGCACCTACAGCTACGTCGATAAAGATTGGAATGGTACTGTGACCATATACCTCGATTTATCATTGGCTGCTTTTTACACGGTACTAATGCTGGACCCAAGAAAGCTAAAAACCGATGCTTTGTGGCATATAATGTTGCCAGCTAGGAAGATATTAGAAGGGAGGTCTTGTTTGGTTTTGACAAAACAGCCTGTAAAATCACTGGAATCACCATTCATGAACAATGATGCTGCCACATCGAGCATAGATGGCATTCACTATCCTTGTGTATGCAGCTGTTTCCGGACAAATTCAAAGCTGTTATTTGTACAATTAAAAGCTGTTGAAAGCAAGCTATTAGTGAAAGATTACAACATACAATTGACATACTTCTGGTTATTACGTCACAACCTGACAATTAAAAAAACCTGCAGCTGAAATTTCACAAGGGCTTTTTCAGCTATAAGAATAAATAATACTAAAGAAACAGTAGTCTACCTTGTCTCCGAGAGTAGGTGTAAGCACGAAATGCGTTGCACGGGTGCAGACGGCAGTGTTACCTGCATACTAGTGCGCACACCACCCGGGCGCATCCCTATAGATTGTTTTACCGAAAGGGGATGAGAGAGAAAAGGGGAAAGGGCTACCGGCACTTTCCTCCCATGGGTAGTTATAGCCGCGTCCCACTAAAGCGACAAACAGCAGCAAACGACAGCGACACATGACAACAAGTGAAAGACGACACCGACAGGTGGCTGTTTGTCGGAGTCCACCGTCCCACCTGGCGGGCACGACACAGAACACGGGGGCAACGAAACTTGTTTCCTAGTGGGACGAGTTGTCAACAAAACACTTCAAAAGACACAGACAAACAGAGTCTGGCGACGCAGTTTTCGTGTTTTGCTCTTTGGGCGTAAAATGCGCCCGCAAACACAGGGAAAGTGGAGACGATTACTTTATTTCTTGATTAAAGTTTCCACTCTTCTCTATTTGCCGTTGGCGACTTTCCGCAAACAGTCGTGAAAATCGACACCAATCTTTTCCCAAACTAGAATTCCCGAATTGTTCCCTTTTTTTTTTTGTCGTTCGAGACATTCTAGGCGAGCTCCGCAGAATTTCACTCCGATTTTGAGGATGTTTATAACTTCACATCCGAATGATCGAGGGCAGGTGTTTTCTGGGGGACAATACGGCATCCCGATTATTACAGAGCGTGATGTCAAGTCTCGTGTGCCGGAATGGCTTGCCGCGGAACGTTGTGTCCTACTTCGTGGTGAGCGGTCTTGCTTTGGTCAGTCCTCGAGCATGGGTGTATCCATCCTGATGCAGGGCGTAGACCTCAGCGTCTTGAAGCACCACCCCGCGCACCAAGTTTTTGTGAGCAAAACCAGCCATGAATGTTGCTAAAGTTGAAGCCGGGGCGAGTTGGTATGACATACTTAAAAGGTTAAAACAACGCAAAAGATGACGGACAGGGTAAAGAAGGACACGGACAGAGCAGCGCTCTGTCCGTGTCCTTCTTTACCCTGTCCGTCGTCTTTTGCGCTGTTTTAACCAAAACCAGCAACAGCAAATTCTCCTTCGCAACACGACCGCCAGCAAACAAGCCACGCCCACGACCACTACGAGCAATCGAGGAACCGGAACTGCAGGAACGATCAGTGGCCGCCAAGGACCTCTCTGAAGGTCGAGCAGCGGAGTGAGCCATGGAAGGAACAGGAGGAAGGGTAGAGGGATGGGAAGAGAGGCAGGTACAAGCGGACGAGGAGGATAAGTTTTTCTGTGAAAGATGTTCCTCGGTGGAACTGCTAGCTGCACTTCTAGTCAAACGACAGGCAAGAACTCATCCGTCGTCGATTGTTTGTCGGCGTATGTCACGGGTGTTGGTTGCTACAGCAGGACAGCATCAGCGTCATGGAACTTTGTGGTGTCGCCGGACAAAAATCGGTGTTTGTCGCTCTAGTGGGATGAGGCTATTAGGAGATCTGAAAGACACGGATGAGTCGCCTCCGCCACCTTTGGATGCACATATTGCTCAGAGCACACTTGGTTTGTTCGCAGTTTTCTTCCTGTTTTTAATTCTCGAGATTAAATTAGAGCCACTGGATTCGATGACAACAATCCACCCATCATGGGAAGACCATGTGCTTTTTCGTAGGGTGCACTAGCAACAACCGAAAGCGTAGAGTAGTATCGGAGGCTTCAGTAACCCGAGTTCCAGAAGATGTGCTTCAGTAACCCGAAAAAAGCTTTTGACCAACATCATCCTCTCGAGTGTCTTGCAACATTCGTGAAAGAAACGGGCGCCGAATTCATTGCTCTACCATCAGTCAACATGAGATATGCCCACAAGGTGGGAACAAGTTTCTTTGCAAGAATCGCTATTTCAGCTTGGAACTTCTTGGGATCTACTCTTCACAGGTTGCTCATTCTCTTTAGCAGTTTTATATTTTTTATATTTATCGGTGTTCCTGAATCGGGATCTCTGGCGTGACTGCAAAAAAAAAAACATTAAATTGTTTACCATCACAATGCGACTGTATTCATCTTATTTTGTGAACGACTGCACATCAAAGGTGGAACTAAACATCAATGTCCAATTCCAAAGCAAGAATCGCTTGCAATGGGCCTACTTCAACACTGCTGTTTTCGGTTCTTGAGAAGAGGCACACCCATAGGCACGGTAACCTAATTAACTTTTATAAAAATCTGAAAACCGGAGCCATCTTCAATCGTTTTTCAGCTCTGCTTTTGTTTTGTGCATCCCTATTCATATTTTATTTTATTGTTTTGGGTGACCTCTAAACGGCAAATACATTCTCGACGCCTACAACCGTGAAAAGCCTCAAGGGAATCGCAAGTTTATTCGCTGTGTCAAGGAATCTTTTGGGCATTCATACTTTCAATTTCTAGCGCTGGCATGTTCGCAACCAAGGTCCCTGCTGCTGTTCCTCAAATAGTCGCACTCGCAGATGCCATAATCCAAAGCAAAAAGTTTGCAGAGGGTTCAAAAACGCGAATCGCAGCACGTAACACATAGCCTAGAGCATATATTTAGCGCTCTAAAGCACCACCAATGCACACAATGCACCAGGGGTGCACAAAGGAATGCTTTCCCCGCTTCATCTAACCGCTCAGCGTCACCACAGAGCATCGTGCTCACCAGGCGGCGAGCACGAAGGTTTATTCGGTACCCTCAGTGTTTATCACAAACATTACCAGGCTTGGCCATTGAAGGTGTCTTCAACGTCTAAGTCGTTATTTACGTCGAGCACATCCTCGACGTCCAAAACGTCGTCCATGTTCAAGCATCATTACCGACGTCCAGACGTCGAAGACACTTTTTTACGTTAAACATGTTAATCATTGCTTCGTCGTCTAACATGTTAAACTTCGAAGACGACGACTATGAAGACGGCGTCGACGCTGAAATGTCTTCCACATCGAAAGGCATCTTGGACGTCAACAATGACGACGATGACGCAGACGACGTCTCGAACATCTGTATGCTCTTAGCATCGCTGCCGACAGAATACAGACAATACTTACGTTGTGCCAACGCACAGAGCCCAATTACAGTCAGTAAACACACATTTTCTGAGCAGAGTTCGATGAGGTTCTGGATAAATTAAAAAAAATGTCTCGGGATAGATTTTGAAAGGTTTTGGAGAAGGTTTGCCAAGAACGCGAGCTAAACTACAGATTCAGCTCAAAAGAATGCCTAGCCCGTATGCTCATTTCAGTCATCATGGAATGCACTCAATCATAGCTACAATGTCAAGGCCCTAGCAAGAGTCTTGATGTCACGAGCCTGAGGTTTCCTTGTGCTGGCCTAATACAATCATGTTATGAACCAAGCATATGTTTTGGCGCAAGCGGACAAACACATAGGACGAAAGCTGCTTTCCTTGACATACCAGGGACAGAATTCGAAGTCTCTGTCGAAGTGTCGACCAGGTCGGGCATTGTCTGCGACGACTGGTCGGAGCAGTTGACTCGTGATGCTTGTATGGCTGTGCACTTGTGGCAACGCACTACTGAGACCACCACTGCTCTGCCACAGCAGATCGCCGTTGGCATATGTGTTCCTGTAATTTTAACATTGGAACAGTGAACATCTCATGAGCAATGAGTAAACATACATCTTTCAAGGTGATGTGAAAATCTTTGGCTCACATAAGGCTTTTTCAGCATCACCTCCCAGGCTGTGTTTTGCGAACTCATACGATAGCTAAATGATTGTGTTCAAATGAGAACACTACAATTAATTACTTCAGTCTTTTTTGTTTTGTTTGGGGGGGGGGGGGGAGGGTGTTCTATTCTACATAAAACGGAATTGCACTAAACCGAAAGGGCTACCTCTAATGATACAGGCAAACCTATCACTGAACAAAAACTGCTTTGCAGAGGGTTTCACATTCAATGAAATCGTCATCGCAAAGGGACACTTTGCAATGTAAAAGCAACTTCCTTAGATAAGAACGCTTTCCTAAATATTCGCCTTGCATATCTGTGCTCAATTGTAGCATACTCCGCAATTTTTTTGTTTTTTTTTTTGACAGGGGGCAGGATATTATTAAAACGAGACTTAGGCATTTAGCCAAATGTCTCAACAAAACAAAATATGAGAGAGAGAGATAGAGAGAGAAAAAAAAAAACACCCACAGTGGGGATTGAACCAGACTACTGCGCGTGAGGCAGACGCGTTACCACTGTGCTGCGCCACAGCTTCGAAGTAGGTTTTATACAAGAACCAAATCAAAAAGTTCTGCACGTAACATTTTACGATCGAGGTGCACGCCGTAGTGCGTATAGCCTTAGTCATTCAGGAATCCTTCGTACGCTTCGTACCCATGTCGCTACATGTTGCGTCGACGCTGGTTGCGACGCTGGCTTCAACGGAGTCGGGCCCAGCGGCGTCCGTCGTGCTGCCCAGCTCCACGACTCCGGCTTCGGCAGCTTCTGGGGTGGAGGTACTCCCGGGAGAGGTGCAAGCCGCGGTGGTCGGCCCGGCAGCGATTCCTTCGTCCACGTCCATCGCGCTGTCTAGCTCCGTGACACCGCTTTCGGCAGCTTCTGCGGTAGAGGCGTCTCCCGGTGGGGCGCTCGCCCCGGCAGCAAATGCGTCGCCGTCATCGGCAGCTTCTGGCGTAGAGCAGGCATCCGCCGGTGGGGCGCAAGCCGCAGCGCTCGGTCCGGCAGCTAGGGCTTCGTTCACAATCTGTTACGAAAAAACGAAAACGACAGAAATTGGTCAATGCACAGAGTCACTCTACATTGTACGCGCGGAAACGATCGTACCTCGATTCGCCGCCGTTTGTTGTAGGCCGCTCGTGCTGGGGCAGCCGGTGGACGGTACGCAAATAGCGAGGGCACCACACCCTTCTTCAAAGACGCGTGTTTCGTTGTGAAACCCGCGGCAGACAGCTTCGCGTTGGAGCTCGGAGTCCAAGGTCTTCCGAAGTCTGTCCGGCGAACGGCATCGACCCACACCTTGCGCCTCTTCTGATCTCTCGGAAACTGGTGGAACCGCAGCTCCGGTTTTCGCACCGAATTGTTGCTGCAACCCACAGCACTGCAAGTCGTGCTGGGAATTGCCCAGCGCAAGTCCGGCGAGTCTCTCCGGCTCTACGACACACGCGAGCGAGCAACACCACTTCGTTCTCTTCCGCGCGGTCGCGGAAGCTATGCTGGAGTTAAATTAACTTCAAGGAACACAAATAAAAATAGGAGAGCACAGGATAACCCGGTAAACACCTCTTGCCGTCTACAGAATCGAAGAATACCACGGGAAACGAAGCGTCCTCCAAGTCCGTAGGAGAGCGTAGGACTAAACCTACGTCACTGCGCAGTGTTGCTTCACTAGCTCACCCGGTGCCAGCGTTGCTCACCTGCTGTCGGGCCGCTAACCCAGCTCGTAGAACGTTTTTAATATTGCTTTTAATCGAGAATGGGGAGTCGGTTTGACGCGATATTTTGGGTGTGACCCTATTTTGACTCCCTAAAGCGATAACAATCATTTTTATAGGGTCGACATTTTGAGTGGAGTTGCCCTTTAAAGGACACATGCAAAGGAAAAAAAACATTTTTTTTTTAGACAGCTTAGATGGAAAAAGGATGTCATAAAACGATTTTACAACGAAGAAAAAAAAATTTTAGAGCTATATTTACGGCGCTATACCAATTTGTAGTTTGCGCTCGCGGGAGCCGCTGCTGGTCACGTGGCAGGCCCGCGCGCCGCCGCGCTGCGTCGCCGCCGCACGCTGAGCGTTGTGCGAACGCCGCTTCAACGCGTTTCTCCACGCCGCCGCCGCCGCCGCCGCACAAGTTTGTCTGCTTCGGGGCGCCGCCGCCGCCGTCGTCGTCTGACCGGCGCACAGGTCTATCACGTCTGCTTCCGCTTTTTCAGGAGTTTCCTTTGGGCTCTAAAAGTTACTTATTCATCTTAGTTTTTTGTTATACTTCAAACAAAGACGAATAAGTTACTTTTAGAGGCCATAGGAAGCTTCCGAAAGAACGCAAGCACCACGTGATAAATGAGGACCAGTCACGTGATAAATATGGACCACTTCTCCGCGGTGCCCGCGGGCGCCAACTACAAATTCGTTTTGCGCCGTAAATATAGCTCTAAAAATTTTTCTACATTGTAAAATCGTTTTATGGCGTCCTTTTTCCATCTAAGCCGTTCAAAAAAAAAAATGTTTTTTTCCTTTGCATGTGTCCTTTAAGCAATGTGAGAAGCAAATGTTTCAGTATACATATTTTGACCTTGAAGGTGCTTTCTCCCTAAAAATATAGAAATAAATGAGATCAAGTAAATGATAAAACTCACTTATTCTGCTCTTTGGCTGTGCGGGTTCCTCACAATCTTCCTCGGAAATGTACCGCACTGGCGCCTTTCTTTTCCTGATCCCTCCATCAGAGAGGTCAGAGTGATGTTCCAACCTGCGACACAGTTTCATCGCAGTTTTGAAGTCTTCTGAAAGTTAGAAAATAAATATTTCTGTATTGACCTAGTGAACACCTCGAAAGTGCGACTAAAAAAAAAGCAGTTCCATGTCGTCTGCAAGCCTGAAATAAAATTCATGACTGGGCGAAACAATTAGCAAAATGGCGTATTATTTTAACAAATTATTTTCCATCTTGCAGAAACACAGAAACATTGCATTATCTCAGCATCTCCTCCTCTCATTTGTTGTATGATTCTTTATGCATCTCAAGGTATCAATGTAGGAAAACAAATAAAGTCTTCATGTTAGGAAAAGAGGACGATCAAGTTTAATGTGCCCATAAAAGTATCAACATATGTCTAAAGAATTTGGTGGCAAAACAATCATGCAAGCCATTTTTGTTTCTTTCATGAAGTGCAAAGACAGACATACCAGTCGCAGCCTTCTAAATAATGGGAATTGTGGCCATGTGTCGTCTTTGGGTACACAGTTCTTTATTGCCTTGAGAATCTTTTTATGTGGTAATGGCGGCCAGGCACATTTATCTCCTTCAATCCATGCCTGCGGTACAACTTCAGCTTCCAGGTCGCATTCATCAAATTCGACCACGGAATACATGTCGTTCTGAAAAAAGAAATGCGCATTGGATTTGAAGCCTCCATGACTATTCGATGACAAAATGAAAACTCAGAATTTCTACCTGTGAGGCAAGCAGTGATCGCCTAAGCGATCAGGTGGAGGTGCGGGTAGACAACATATTTGTTGTCGCTCCTAGTCCTGGGGAAGCATGCACATTTACACTTTACATTCCTGAGGCTCCAACAGTACAGAGTTTCTGAAGGCTTCGAGCATCGATACACGCACAAGTCTGAAGAAGATACTTACTGGGTGCTTATAAAAGTTGCTTTTGTGTTTGAAGTGTGTTCCACACACCATTATATCCTCATTAATCGTGAGGATGTTTTTTTACAAGCACAATGCTTTCATCTTGCATGCAGACACAGTTGTTTCCATCAGCTGTCGAAATAGTGCAATCTTTCCCGGTGACTTTGTCATACTGATCTTCTTTAAAGCTAGAGAAATTCGGTCCCTTAGCATCCCTATTGAAAATTCCATCAAGATACGTAATTTGGGACACTGACTGCCAGTCAGCAGCCCTGGTGGAACGTGCTTTGATGGTCCATCAGATGACGTCCGACTGCCACTGATGGAATGTCCCAAATTACGTATGTGGTGGTCTTTGATGGAACATACTGTGGTGGTCTTTGATGGAACATACTTGATGGAAGGTGTGATTGTGATCACTGCTGAGCTGATAGGATAGGCTTACCAGATTGTAGCGTTGCCAGAGAAACTATTACATACTTTCGACTGCCATAGGATCACTGCAAGTTAACTTCAAGGACAACATCCCAGAAAATGACAAGTAAAATGCAAAATCAAACCTGTTGTATCTTTATTAGGTCACAGAAAACACCTGCCTTGAGCGGTGCTCGATCTGAAAAGGTAAAACAAACAACACTGTCAGAATAAATTAAGTTAAAGCAAGTGGGAACTAAAAAGGTGGAACTGACAAGTGGTAATTTGTACCTCTTGTAGCAGGTAAAAACAGGTTTTGGGGCAGAGATTCTCACTTTTGGAGCAAACAATTTTGAGCTTTCAGGTCAAACAATTTTATACAACCTCTTTAAAAGTTAGCCCGTAGAAAAAACTGCAGTTGTTGGAGCATTGGGAGACTAAAGTCTTATGTGTATACAGAAGACCTGGGCTGTACACATATTTATTCATTGAACAATCATACGCCGGCAATTTTGTAGACGTCTCAATTAACCTATTAGGAGTACCGATGGTGTCTTCAATCTGTGTTTGACGTAAAAAGATGTTGTGGGCTACTTTGTAGAGAGTTTGTATCACGGTGACGTAATTCCCGCGAGTTCGACATCAAACGGACACTTCTGTGTTGAATATGTCTCACACTGCCCTCGCAGGTATTTAACCTGCTGCTGTTCATAGAACCCGCCGCTAAGCGGAGCACATAGCTACTCAACCGATCACGAGTAGCGCTAGCTATTCATTGCAATCAATGTGAGCACCATTTTCACAGAATCCGACAACTCTTCGTCAGGCATG